ATCATAAAATCAAGAAAGAAAAATCGTTATTTTTTGGACGACCCATAGAAGTTGAAAATTTTAAGAAACTTAAGATACGGGAATTTTTAAGAAATTTGATTGCTTTATTATATACCATTAAATGTTTCGCACATATATGTTTATATCTTATATACAAATATTATTAATAAAAATTATATTTAAATTTAACTTTTTATTAGGAGTTGATTTATTTTGTTTTGTAAAGGATATACATTTTAAGTAAAATAATTTAAGAAAAATTGATTGTTTTTTAAATTATTATCATTACAAACTTATAATATAAGGATAAGGATCTTTTTTAGTTTTTAACAAAGTCAAAATAAAAATAGACTCATCCATTAAAATGTAAATTCCATTTGCTTTAAAGAGAAAATTAAAAATGAAAATTATAATTTTATAATCTTGAGACAATAATCCTTGCTTTAAAATGTTTCAAACTATTAAATAATTATTTAAAAATAAAATTTTTAAACTACAGCGCGGAGGAGTTTCAGAATCATTTGTTTGGTTTTTTTGTAATGAATAAAATAGGGAACTGATTTTGGAAAAAAAGGTTAGTGTAAGCTGTGTCTTATTATATAGTGATAAACACATGTCCAAATAAATTTAATAATAATTTAATAATAATAATTTAATAATAATAATTTAATAATAATAATTTAATAATAGCAAAATAGAAATAATATAATAATAAAATAAAATTGCAATTAAAATAAATAACAAATAACATATCACATTAAACTAATATGAGATAATGTTTAATAAAATATACTAAAAATAAATTAAAACAAAATATAAAACAATATTGTTGAAAATATTTAAAAGAAAAAAAATTAAATAATGATAGATCAAAGAAGTTAAATTAAAATGAAATAAAAATAAAATAAAAAAGAAAAATAAGTAAAATATAAACAGTTGAACTAATATTTTTATACATATGTGTATGCATACACGTACATGTATATTATTATATATATTATACATATATAATAATAAATGTATAAAATATAATATAAACTAAAATATAATAAAATACAGTTAAAATAAAATTTAAATAACATAATATTATATAATTATTAAATAAAATTAACATAAATTTGTACTAAATTAAAAACAAAACAAAAATAAAATATGTTAAATATGTGTTCTTAATATACCTATTGCAAAAAATTCATTTTTCAACATTTGATATTAAACCGTAGAATTAAGCTATATAAAAATAATAACTTCATATCTTAGAATATAATTTGAATTTAACAAAGTAATAATATTTAGATATACTAATCCCAAACACCCAAACAATACGTAGGGTATACATTAGGGTGCCATTAATTTTCGAAAGTCGGAAAATTGCGCGCGGCACCCCCCAGATCGGTTCATTTTACTAAAAAAATAATCTGAAATTTTAGTTCAATTGGATAAGTGGAAATGGTGCCCCAAGAGCCTCAAAGAGTGAAAAATAACGATTTTTTCCATAAAATTCATCTTTGATTGCTTATATCTTCGACATATTTAATTTTACATTTCTAATAGTTATTGAATAAAACAAAAAATAAGTTGAAGTCACCCGATTGCTAACTTTGAAAGTACTATGAATGTAATTGTCCGCTTCAGCTTTACAAAAAATTTAATATTTCTAAAAAATTTAAAATAAATTCAATATTTCCAAAATTTAATCTTTCTAATAATAAAAAAGTACTAATTCTAGGTTTGTCCGACATAATTTTTATTATTTTATTTAAAGTTGCTGGAGCAAAGTATCCTTATTACCTTCAGTTATTTTTGCGCGATCTATTGATATTCTCCTGACTTCCTTGTCATCACTATCTATATTCAAATTTGAAACCATCTTTTTCTTTGTCTCAGGTGATATATTTAAATCCAAAAAAGCAAAATGAACAAGTTTTGAGCTTAAATACCAAATACAATTTTTTGATATTGACTGAGAATAGAAAGATGATTAAAATCTTGAAAATGAGCTTTGACTGATGACAAAGCATTACTTCAACATACACTTTAGTAATAAATATACATATATCGCAAAGAGCATTTTCTTCTTCTGTAGATAATTTGAACTCTTTCCTAAATAAAAATATTTTTAATACATGCATGACTTTCACCATCCATCTTGCATGATGTATAGCTCCAGGAGGTCGAAACTTTATGGTACAGTTCGGCTTTTCTCCTAAAAACATTAATGCAAGTGCAGAAGTTCCTTATAATCATCTCTTGGTTGGTTATCCTTACGAATCTTATAAAGGAAACTTGTAATTCGTAACACATCATCCATATTTAACGATTTTCTTACTTTTTCATTTTCTAAGCCGACTGTAAACTTATCAACGTTTATTTTCGGCCAAAACTTCTGAAATCGTTTAAATAGTTCAACATTTGTGCTTTCAGACTTGTACACTTTTTAATGTAATCGCTTTGAATTAAAATTCACTTCGCATTCCAATGACTAATACAGAAACTCACTTATGTATATAACTATACAAGTATTGGACTTATTTTCTAGCAAATTTAGTAGATCATTCATTCATTGAACTTACCTAAATTTAATAGGGGGATTTCAGCTTGTATTTGCTTTTATTCAATAACTATTAGAAATACAGAAAAACTTTGTATGAGTGAATTGTTTATTTTTAATAGATCTATAACTTTTAGGAAGACAGTTTTTATGTAAAATTAAATATGTCGGAGATATAAGCAATCAAAGATGAATTTTATGGAAAAAATCGTTATTTTCAATCTTTGAGGCTCTTGGGGCACCATTTCCACTTATCCAATTGAACTAAAATTTTACACAGATTATTTTTTTAGTAAAATGAACCGATCTGGGGGGTGCCGTCAACCGATTTTACGAAAAAAAAATTGCCCATATACCTTAATGGCACCCTAGTATACATACAACTTTGAGTTTAGCAATGTTTTAGCAACATATTTTATTTGTCTTAAATGAAAATATATTTATAGTTGAAATAAAATTGATCATTTTTATTCAAAAATGCAGTAAATTTTTGCAAAATTTGTGTAGTTTAATTTTTGCTTTATATTGCTAGTGCTAATCTACCTCACAAATTTGTAAGTTAATCTATTTTATATTTAATATATTATTTATTTATATTATAATTATTAAATTTAAAAAATTATTGATTTATATATGTGTTATTTATTTAATGAATTTGTGTAATTTAAGAACACTTGAGCTGACAAACTTTAACACTTAATATGGCTTATTAAGTATTAAATATATAATACGTACTAGTAACAAATTGATTTAGAAATTAAAAAAAAATACTTATACACAAAATGTTGGTATAAAATTTCAAGTTAATTAATATAATGTGATATTTTCTATAAAATTGTTACTAATTTTTTTTCAAATATTTCATGCTCCAATCCTTAATTAACTCATTAATTAAATAAAGCACTTATAAACATTTTTGCTACTACTGTGTTTAATTCTACTCTAAAATTTATGTTATAAAAAAATAAATTTTATCAAATTTCAATATCTCATGGATAACATTATACTGATTTTCTTGTAATTGTAAAATATTGTAAAAAAAAATAAATACATGAATATTATAAAACAATTTTAATATACATAAATTATAAAATAATTTTAAGATATTTCAAAGTGTAATAATATTAAATTTATTTAACTAGTAAGTAAAGTGAAAATGTTATATTATATTATAATTATATATAAATATATAAAAACATATATAAATATAAATATTTGAATATATATTTCAAAGTGTAATAATATTAAATTTATTTAACTAGTAAGTAAAGTGAAAATATATATATTTATATATACAATGCATATATATGTATACTTAAATCATTTAACAATAAAGTACTATTTTGCATTTTTATGCGTTTTAATGAATTCCAGAATAATAGTATTATATTATGTTGTATAATGCGAGTATTATATTGAGAACAATAATAAATTAATAAAAGAACTATTATATTCTATTTCAAAAAATCAAAAATAATTAATAATGTAAAAACATTGTTTAGCCGTTTTGTACAGAAAAAATTCTGAACAAAAGTAACTATTGAAAAAAAATATGTTTGCTATAATTATTTAGGATTTTATGTTTTACGTTATTTTTAAATATTACGACACGATATTATTAATATATTATTATTTATTATACAAATACAATATTATTGACTAAAATTAGTTCAAGTTCAATACACAATTTTATAATTGGTGGAAATTTTTAAAAATTTAAAAAAAAATTATTTGAAACTATAATTTAATTTGAATTTTAAACTTCAGAATTGACTTAGAAACAATTTTAAAAAGATTTATAAAAAAAACTGTTAAAATTTGTATATGAAAATTTCATATATAAATAAATATATTTTTAATAATATAATATTTTATTTATTTAAAGAAGTATTTATTTTATTTTATTTCACCATAATTAGTGGAAATTTTTAATAAATTCAAAAAAAATTAATTGAAACTTTAATTTAATTTGAATTTTAACCTCAAGAATTGACTTAGAAATAATTCTAAAAAGTTTAATAAAAAAAACTGCTAAAATTTGTACATAAAAATTTCATATATAAATAAACATATTTTTAAAAATATGATATTTTATTTATTTAAAAAACTATTTATTTTATTTATTTTGGGATATTTCTGAATTTGATAAAAGACACACTTTTTTTTTGATTTTATCAATTATTTTAAAAATTTTCGTCCTATTCACCACTGTCCTTTTAACTGTTCGAAAAATGAAAGTGCATAAATAGAATTATTACCTAAATACCAAACAAAAAATATTTTAATTGTTGACACTGAGTACTGGTATATTCACTTTCTTTTTATCAACAATTTTTAATAAATAAAATGCATTGCGGGGGGCGACAGATAAGACAGGTAAACTCACAGTAACCAATACCGATCGCATTTAGAGATTTAATTTTGTTTTGTGATGAAATGTTACACTTACAGCGTGAGAGTTTTATGCCCCATTCTGGTTGTGTCATTTTGCTTTGTTCTGATTATTTGTTGATTTTTTATTTGCTGTATGTGTTGCCGGTGTTGTGTATGTAGGAATGCAACCAACTGTTATTATTATTGTTGTTGTTGTTACAGATTATGTAAAACTTTTTAATATATATTTATTTATGCGAGGTTGTATTAATAATTAGTATTAAAATTAATATATATATAACATAAATCAATTATTTTTTGAAAATTATTATTTCCTGTTGGGCTGGTCTGATCAGGTGCACAATTTATGGATTATTGTTTTAAATATGCTTTCGTTATTTTTGTTGTTTCTGCTATGTGTGGTTGTTATTTAAGTTACACTTTATTAACACTTTTTAAACAAATTGCTTTAATTACATACATACGTATATTAAAAACAAATAATTAATTTAAAATTTTAAGTCCTGCACTTTTTTAATTTAAATTAGCACATCCTGACCAACAGTGACAAAATATCCTCCTGCCGATTTTTTCACACGCGAACGTTATTCAATTTCGTTACTTTGGAGGAATTGTGCCAGTTTTAACAAATAACAACAACTTGGCACAATCAAGTATGAAGAGAATATGAAAATGAAACGTTCGCGTCGTCGCACGTTCAACGATGAAAGTCAAATTTTAAATGAGAAAAAATAATTCAATGTCTTTAGTTTATATACGAGATAAGCGTTGAAGTTATGTTTTTTGTTGTAGTTGTTGTCGGTTTGTTTTTGTTTTTGGTTTTGTTTGATTATTATAGTTATTGCTGGTACTGTTAATACTACGCTTTTGTTTTTGTTCTTGTTGCTGTTGCTGTTTTTGTTGTTGTTATTGTTAAATTATTGACGAATATATTTTTGTTGATATTAGTATTCCAGTTGTTTTTATTGGAATTTAAGTTTAAATTAATTTTATATTTCTAAGATCTGTTATGATTTTGTTGCAGGACGAACATTTTTTTAAATGGTGGTACACCTAAGACTGTGAATAAATCTGTTAATCTGATTAAGCCAACAAAGTGTTAATAGACACTTCCCAAAAGGATAGATATTAAGAACACTGACACTTTTGACTGTCACTATTTAAATCAATGTTATATTATTTATATTACAAATTATTTATTTCAATAAAAATATGTTATATTTAATTGTAAATATAATTGCATAAACAAATGTTTTAGTTTGATTAAAAAGTTTTATGAAATTAAATTTGTTTCTAAATATTTATATGTATATAAAGAATTTTTGAAATGGATTAATTAATTCGACTTTTAAATCGCCAATACCAAAATTTTGGTTGGAATAAACCTCTAGCAATAAAGTATTAAGTCAACGAAGAGTGTTGCTGTTTTCAATGATATATTGATCTATTGCGCATACTTGGAATAGAATCAGGGATAGATTAAATTTAAAAAAGCAAAATTGGTAGAAATTAGTAGAAAGCAAAAATGATGAAATAATGAAAAATTTTCAATGTTCTTCCAACTACTGCTAGAAGACACGATCCTTTTGCAAAGTATCTTCTTTCGTATACATCGTGTCTTGGTTACAATATTAAACCGCGGGTATTATAAAAGATATAGATCAATGTTTTCACTTCACAATTAGCAAAGAGCGTAACTAAAGAAATACGAAAAGGTGCAGCAAGTATCACATAATCTTAATTATCTAATAAATAATTATAATAGACAATTAAATTTAACTTACAGAAATGAAAATCCTAGTAAAAAACTTCTTGACACATACAATTTTGGTTTACTGTACCCAAAAATAGGTAGGGAAAAAGCGTTAATATGATAGTATTGTTATTTTGTACCGAACATACCTTAATTAAATTTTACGATATAAATTTATTGAAATAAAGTTCAGGTTTATATATAAAAAACTCAATTATTATGTATAAAATAGAACTAGTATAAAAATTTATATCTGTGAAATTGAAAAATGTCAGTTTTTCTTAAAACTGCTTTTCCCAACCAAGAGACGTGATGGTTTCCTACATATAATTTTCTTAAAATTTACGAGAACAGACCCAATGTGATTCGTCATCACATCTTCTACAATTTTTTAGAAACTTTTGTACTTTGGTATTGAAGTGAATTAAGAAATAATACCGCTTGTTCGAATCTATTATTTCGAAAATTTTTGTATGGAAAGTATGGGTAATTACCAAACAATTAGCGAGTTAATTGTGAAACTGCATTAATTGAAATAATGCAAAAGTACTGTAAAATATATGATTTAAAATTTTAAATCATGATTTTTTTATTGCAACAATTCAAAAATTTAATTATTCTTCTAGTTTTCATTTTAGTTTTAATATAATATATAATTTTATAATTTTAATATATATATAAAAAATATAATCAGATTTTGTTTTTCCTTCTTTCCAGATTTATTTTCTCCATCTTTATAAGAACTTACACATATCGACAAAATTTTATATATGTTTTATGAAAAATAACTGTAGTGCAAGATTGTGGTTTTCAAGAATAAAGAAATATATATGGTCAACTTCTTTTTACTGCTAATTGCAATTACAAATAAGTCAGGTTCTTTTCGACTATTTTTCCATAGTCTTATCGGAAATAGCGCTCACTGACCTGAGTGAGCCTTAACTAAATCTAACAGCATTACATTAGATTTATTTTAAATTGACTTAACTATGTACCTCCTTAAAAGATCTCCGTAGTGGTCATCTAAACCAAGAAGTCTGTGTCGACTGATAATACTGAGTATAAATAGTACGTTTTATTTTATTGAATTGCAAATACGATTATCTACTCACTCGATATTACAGTCCTAAATTAAAGAGAATTTTAGAGAAGAAGGAGAAGGACATCTATAACATAACTAATTCTATAATTGCACTTGTTTTAGTTTGTTATATATTTTTTTACTTTACGAGTGTTTTAAAGGAATTGTTTTTGTTGTTTGTAAGGTTAATTTGATCGTTAAATGTTTTTAATTTATAAGTTTTATAGCCGCGATTAGATTCAAGCTGTTTTATAGAACACATTTGCTTTTCAGTTTTTCACGATTGTAAAATAAACGCATAATCTTATAATTTTTTTTTAGTATATATGTTTATATATATAAATAAAATTATATTGTATAATAATATAAACCGTTTTTGTTATTTTATTGCAAAAAATATAAATTATTTAACAACATACCAAAATTGTGTTTATCTGAGCGTACAATTTTGGTACTAAATTTTAATTTAATTACTAATAAACAAGGGAGCTTTGTTGTTGTTGTGTCAATATTTTACACTTAACAATTCTCTAAGTTAATATCATTAACTATTTTAAACCTATAAAAATAATATTTTCTAGCCGTCGACGTTAATGAAGTTTATTGCATTTTGCACCATCCGCCACAGTTGCGATTCAAAACTCAACTGTTAACAAATTTGGCAGAGTGAATTCATTTTCGTTTACTTGTAGCATTTTAAATAAGTAAATAATAAATTAATTAATTAATAATTGTAAAAATCTGGATCAATGGCACAGACGTTGGTAAACAGTCATATTGTTAAGATAGCACCTTTTGTCACCAGTTCAAGCAATGGTTGAATCGAATGACAATGCAAAATGCAATTAGGTAGATACCATAGTAGTCAGGCAAACAGTTTTCCCACCATAAACAAGCCGATCAGAGCGATCTGCAAGACAGCTATCATCCTGTGCTTGTGTTTATTGCCTTCATTATATATAAGATTCAATTGTTTTATTATTCATTGTTATTTTAATACTAGTTTAAAACTATAAGATCATTATTCAGGTATGTTACCTCAATAGCAATCCAATAATTTCTTCATTATATATTATACTATATTTATTTATATAATATGATTTTTTATAATCAATAAATAACTTCTTTATAAAAGGATTAAGAATTATACCTTCAAAAAAGAACTTACTCGTTCTTTTTTTGATTTCCTGCGCCTATCCAATCGGCAAATTTTTTTTATTTTCACGCTGGCAACACTTTTATACACATTCTGTCAGAGTTTAACGCATATCGTACGATTAGTTTTTGTTTGGCGTCTATACAAAGAAGTCGAAAAATTTTCGTGTGGCGATTTTTAGCTGAATTTCATTCAAAAAAAGTGTCGACCCCATATTCATCGAACGTGATGAAACATGGGTCTATGAATTTGATATGCCCACCAAACAACAATCGACCGAATGGTGCTTCGAAGGTGAGCCGAAACCGAAAAGAGAACGCCAAAGTCGGTCCAAAATCAAAGTTATGCTGACTGTTTTCTTCGATATTCGTGGTGTGGTGCACTATGAATTTCTTCCGGACTGTCAAATGGTCAAACGGTCAATAAGGAGCATTATTTTGCCGTTATGCGTCGTTTGCGCGCCGGCCCCCACAGCATTGGTTGCTCCGCAGTTTTTAGCCAAAAACTCCACCAATATCATCAACCAAGCACCGTACTCACCAGATATGGCCCCGTGTGACTTTTTCCTCTTCCCCCGCCCTGACTCAAATTGCCATTGCGAGGACCATAGACGCGTTTTGAGACCATAGAGGCCATAAAAGAGAATTCGCTGCGTGAACTAAAGGCATTACCTTGGACGGCCTATAAAACTTGAATGGAAAATTGGATCAAGCGCTGGTTTGCATACATTGCCGCAGGAGGAGAATACTTTGAAGGCGATAATAAAGAAAATGATTAAAAATTAAAATTTTGCGTTTTTTTAACTTCTCGTTCTTTTTTGATCAAGTGGTATGCATGCACAGCCTACATTGACCAGTTAACAAATTAAAATCGCAGATACACACATATATTTACATAAAGAGGTTTTTCGAACAGTAATGAACTACAACAACAAAAATTCATTTTATATTATTTTAATTAATAGAATTCTTGGCTGACCATATAGTAGCTCCTGTATTACCAAATACCCATCATCAGTGGTTTTGGAAATAATTCTTTTATTTTATTATTCGTAAATAATTTTTTGAGACTGCAAGAAGCAGGAACCGAACTCGGGAGCTCAGAGTCAGTGTACCATAACCAACTGACCCAAAGCCGTACTTGCCTTTTATGTTCGCACCTTTTTTTGGAGTTTTGTTATTTTGCTCTGAAAGTTTTATTAACAAGTTCATATGCTGTGTTTATATTAGAACGAAAACTTAAATCAGCTGTAAAAT